TGTTTTAGAAGTCATTCTAGAACATACAAATTAATTTTTGGCCACTCCATATTTAAAACGTTTAGATTTTGTGATACTTTCTCATTTTGAGATTATATTTTTTTCTGAAAATTGGAATATTATAGAATATTAACAATTAATACAATTAATTGCTCACCTTCCTCGTGGTCTTATCCACTTTCACATAAAATAGTATTTTTTGGATTAAAAAACTTAAATTCCAAAGTACTCTATTTTTTTCTTATCATTTTAAGGCTAGTTTGGACACTCGGGTAATTTAATAGGTACATCGATTGAATCACTTTATCGAAATAAATTGGAAAAATAGCCCCCGAAAAAAAAAACGAGGACTAGCATATCAGGATTGTTTGTTTGACCGACGGGCGCGTGCGACAAACAAAACGATCGGTACACACACACAAAACTTTCGCCGCATTTCACCGGCTAATTCCATTATGTCGTCGCTTTAATTACGCCCGGCTTTTTCGCCGGTTTTTGCTCAAAGATTAAATTTTGTTTGATGTCGTAATTCAATTTGGGGCCCGCTCGCTCCCGTTCCGGGCGGGGCGTAACGCGATATTGCGGCCGGCTAATTAGCCCGGAATTTAATGAAATTGTGTATTTTCCACCGTATTTATGACGATTATGATGAAGCGCGACACCTACACTTATCTCTTTATCGTAATTATGTCTCAATCGGGTCGATTCTGTTTGTAAATAGCAATATGGTTATTTGGCTATTTTGTAAAGATATTGTTATGTTAGGAATGTCCTATGAAATAACCTATTCTGTTAGTGTAATTTAAACAATATGATCTGTCATTAGTAAAGATATTTTGTTATGAACCTTGCTATTTGAACAATGTCATTTTTGTACTTGCTATTTGATAGCAATATGGCTAATCAGATCTTTTTTCATTGCTATATAAGCTAAGAGTTTACATTTTTTGCAAATACGAGATACAAGTAACCCCTTTGATTTGCTAAATGAAAAATTTATAAAACTTAAATAAGACTACAGCTTTAAATTTATTTCAACAGTTGTCAGAAGTTCTACAAGAACCATTCCGAAGAGATACAACACCTTTTCATTTACAAGTTGCGCTATTTCAGAAATTTTTTTAGAATATTTAGAAAGTTTTTTTAAATATTTTTTAATTTTTTTAACCATTACTATTACTATTATTTCCATTTGTTCTTGCTTGTTTTCTTTTTTCGTCCTTACACTTACACCTCCACTTACACCGCAGAAACACATGAAAAACTGCCTTCAATGGCCTCAATTGTAATCGTAAAATAAAAAATTTTAGAGAAGATTCTTCCATTCGGTTATATTCAGATAATTACAGTGTTGTCAGCTTTATTTTTCACTAATGACAACAGATTTTTAGCAATACGGTTAATCGTTAAAAATATAACCAACATTGCTAAACTAATCGAAACAGAACAAGAAAATTTTTAGCAATATTGTTATAACTTTTAACAACATGGTTATCATAGCAAAATATTCACAACAAGATCCAAACAGAATCGACCTGATTGAAAGTGTATATGAATGGTAAAAAAAATATAAAAATCGTATATTTGGGCGCGCTTGATCCCGGGGATCCAGTCGAAATCCGGGTTGTCCGGCCTAAAGGGTGATTTCGGGTTGACCGCCGCGGCGCGTCCGAATTTACGACGCCCGTCGGCCATAGATCACGGCGGCTCATTTGCGGCGAGTCGTAAGTGTAAGCGAGACATCCTTCCTAATAAAACTCCGGCCGTTTTTCACTCTCGCCTAACGCGCCCCGGCCGCGAAAGGTTCCCAAAGATTTCCGTTTTGCGTTCGAAATGGAAAAAACTTTTTCCGTCCGAGGGATTATTGCAAATTTTCCCGCTTTGAATCGAGATGAAGATTAACGATGGTTTTTCCGAACGTGCAAATTAATCGGTTTCGGTTTCGAAATGGAATAAATCGCGTTTCGTGACGAGGATGGGCTCGATCCGTGTATAACTCACGGCGCCGTTAAAGAAAAGCGGCGAAGGAAAAGCGGGGTTTTCGCGAAAAGGGAAAGGTTTTATGCGGAGCGAAAGTAGCGCTTTCGCTCCCAGAGGCTCTTCGACTTCTCTCCACCGTGATGGACTGCTGCTTTGCGGCCTCCGTCCGGTCTCCTCGTTGCTCGATCGCTTCGGATTTACAAAAGCCCGCTATAGGAAGAAGCTTCCTCGATTTGGGAATTGATCTCGCAAATAAAACAGTAAGCGACGGTAACGTAAATACCCCGCTTTCACTCTATTATTTACGTTCGAATAAGGAATATACACCGCCCTTAACAGCTTTAAACGGAAGAAGATGAATTACCATCGACTTCAACGCAATTTGCGATGTTCTAATTCGCTGGTTACTGAACTATTTAAATGAGAAAAAATATCTCTAATCGAAATAATTATGGTCGGTTGATAGGGGAAAAAAAAACGCGTATATCCCGAGCATCAGGTTATAAAGCACGGAGTGAGTTCAACGACGGGCGACTTACGAGTGTACGAAAATAACTCCGGGGGCCCGGAGTATCAGTCGGAAGATATGACCGCAGTCGAGGCGTAATTTGGTGTCTTTCTTTCTCTTTTCATCCGGGCGAGGAATTATAGCGCTTGTCACGGCTGTTCATTTGTAGATGGAGTTTTTATCCCCATGAGAAAATCCCCAATCACGAGCCGAGAAAATTGCTTATCCTCTCTCTACGCGACCGGCGACGGCGGCGTCGAATTCCGGGGAGCGGTGCATGTGCAATAAAATAGTGCGTAAATGCAATTATTATTTTTTATGCGAAATGTATAACTGGTTTGATTGATTAATCGAAATGTAAAATAGACACTCCTGGACAAAATTAACGCAACATCATAAATTTGCCACATTTTGATACTTTGTTTGAATTTATAAACCGATTTGGATGATTTTTTTTTTGTATTATAAGTTGGTTCCTTGACAATGTCATCGATTGATCGATTGATCATGTCTTTTCGATTATACCGGGTGCAATAAAAATGTATTGTTTTTTTCCGAAAATTCGTATCACCCTGTGGAGTATACTAGCAAGCTAGACATATAGCAGTTGACATTAGACGGTAGATCAATCTTTTGTCAACATTTTCTTTTTTGGTTTACTTCATTATCTCTGTTATTAAAGGAGATACGCCGTTTTATAGCGTAACATGTTTTAATAGACTTAATTATTCAAAACATATTATTAATTACACCTGGTATAATCGAAAAGAAACATTTTTTTCATAAACAGCGAAAATGATGACATTGTAAAGGAACCAATTTATAATACAAAAAAAATCATCCAAATCGGTTCATAAATTCAAACAAAAAATAGCATAAAAAAATGTGGCAAATTTATGATTAAGCGTTAATTTTGTCCAGGTGTTTATTTTCCTCCATAATTGTATACAATATGTATAGTTGTTGGAATGGAATAGAGGAAAATTTAGAATGTCCCATTAGAGGTCAGCGCGTGGTGTGTAAATAAATGATAATTTTAACTTCGACGGCGATAAATAATTTCGATAAAATTGGCTATAAAACCGCTAAATAATTAAAGGAGCAACCGTTGTAATCAATTTGGTAGAAACTTAATAATTTAATTACTACATTAGTCGGCCGGCTTGCACTCTCGATTCTCGATTAGATCTAATGCAGTTTTCACAATATACAGAAATATTCACCTACGCGATCATTTAATAGTAATGTTAATTTGAGTGGATTTGCTTGTATGGTGCAATCAATTTTACTATTAGACGCGCGTGATTTTCAAACGAATTTAAAAAGTTAACATATGCACAGAATCGCGCGTAAACTGTTTATAGAAAACACACATTTCGTTTTGAAGCATCCCCTTGTACTCGAACAATGACCCAGTTCATCAAATCGAGGGCGGCAACAATACAACAACAACAAGTGCACAGAGAAGAAGAAGGGATAATAAAAAAAAACCCGCAGAAAAAAAACTAACAACTGGTATCTCGGTAATTCAACCATACGTCCGTCATCGATACTCTAACAATCTGGCCACATTTTTACCAATCGAGCCCCCTTCCGTTCGGACCATCTGCGACAGGTTTTTCGAGAGGAAAATATGATGGGCCAATAATTTATAGGACAATGGGCCTAATCACGTCCCATCCGACCTCATTACAAAAGACCCATCCAGAGGCGTAGGTACTTTTTGTTATTTCCAATATTCAAAATTCCCCGTTCCATATCGCTGTAGTTTTAACAGCGCCATCGCAGGAAATTTCATCGTTGCATCGGGTCGAAGAACAATGCGGGGTTTCGGGGTGCATTTCCATCGTCGCAGATTGAAAATACGAGTTACCGGGATTGACTGGGAGGCTTCCATCATCCGCGTCGCCGGTCCCCAAGGACCCAGGGGGGCTCCTGTAACGTCGGGGGGGGGCGCCGCGACGTCGGGCTTCGACGCTCGATTCACGCACGAGTATTGTACGAAGCGCACATATCGCATCTATTCTTTTTTTTTGGACTCGTAGAATTACTGATTAGTCGTAATTAGTTCGCTTTGTCTTAGCGAAGCGGAGTCGTTTAATTAATCCATTTGTTTTATTAAATCGTATGTGCGGTTCCCTCAACGTCGAGCGATTAATTTCGTTTATTTTGCGATGGGAAATGGGTGGATATTGTGATGGTATACGTGAATAAATTTTCAAGAGAATCGTATACACGGTAGGGAAAGTTTCATCGAATAGATACAATGAATATGTAATGATTTTCCACCTTATATGTATGTAAATTCGGGTAGATGCATTTATTTGACACCTCTTTCTACGTAAAATTACGTTGTTCTTTTAATAAATTGTAGTCGTATAATTATTGGTTAAATTTCTGTAAAAAAGAGTTATTAATTTACGTAATAAATGTGTAAAAAATGGGAGGTAAGTTGAACGTGGTGTGTATTGTAGCAGGAACGCGGTCGAACTGTTGTGTAGCTGGCGTGATGTATCAGGAAAAGGCGATGCACCTGCTGCGGCACGTCGGAAAGCCGCACTTCCTGCGGACTGATCGGTTCTCGGGTCTCCCAGCAGAGACCACTACTGGCTACCCGGTCCCCCACCAGAGGCGAATTCGGGTGTAAGCGCGCCGATCGTATTGGCGGAGCGTCTTCGGGGCCTCCCCGAGCTATTGGACGGGCCCCACGGGGTTGTGGAATTCGGCGACGCCCTCCACCCTCGGCGGAATCCCGCGAGGCGGGGCCCCACCCAGGGGAGGCCGCGCCGTCGGAATATCCTCGACGGTTATCAATAGGCGTCCCAGTCGCGAATTGACCTCAGCTCGTGGTGGAACTCTCGCGAGATATCCGCTGGTTTTTGAAGTGTTTTTGGCGGGTGTATAGTTGTATCGGGGGTGAGTTCGCGGTGCGAGGGTTGTTTTTTTTTTTCGTCGGTTGTTGTCGTCGCGGTTGGTTGATTTGGGTTTTTGTGTGCGCGGCCGTCAAGGCGATAGACTTCGTCGGTGGGTGCGAATAAACTGTCAAGACGAGGTCCGACGAGGGACATCCCGTGGAGCGCGGTTACCCGACGGCGTCTCCTTGGCCCGCTCTCTCCCTTACGGCTCACGAACTGGACCCCGTGGCGGCCGCGTGGGGACGGAAACTCTACCCAGGTTCGAGGCACTTTTTTTTTTTTTCTAATCGCTTCAAGAAAAATATCGATTTTTAATAAGGTGGTTTAAGTAGTTTTCTTAAGATATTTGGAGTGGTATTAAATTTGTTTTTTTTGGTTACTTGAGATAAGATTTTTAAGTACTGATAATACGTGTAATATCTACATATTTTGTAGAGGCACTTATGAAATATATTTATCTAAATTATAACTAGATTATTTGGTACTTAAGTACCTACTATTAAAATAAATTAAAATAGGTAAGTGGTTCTGGTTACACAAAGCGAATATGGGTAGAAAGAAAATTCATAAGATTTATTTACTTATTATAGAAAATTTTTATTCGTAAATTTAATTTAAAATAACAAGTAATTTCTTCTGCTACTTAATTTAAAGTTTGGAAGATTAAAAATTAATTTCGTCTTTACCAATCAAAAATGCATTTTAAATTTTTTATATCGAAATAAATATATCCTGTAAAATTTCAAAAACATCATAACTATTAATCATAAGTGTAAATAATTGTCATTTGTAAATTATTACTTTATTTTTAGAGCGAATTAGGAATATTAAATTTTCATAAACAGTATTTAGTATTTTAAAAATGCTATATAAAAAATTATAATTGTTCAATTTTTATTCATGAATTTAATAAGTTTCTTCTATAAGTTATCGTTAATATTCAACGTACAAAATAATACCTATAATTAATTCAAAATCAATAAGCTTTATTTACCACGATGAACTTTTATTATTATTAATATACAGGGTGTCCCAATGAAAACTAGCCCCTTTAATGAGCTTATAATTTTTAAATGCCTAAACATAAAAATATGCGATTTTCTCAAATATATTTTATTTTATTATAAGTTTTGTTACAGTAATACAGAAAATATGATTTACCAATACAGGGGGTTTTCTCAAAATCTCCTCTTTTAAATTCACAGTAACCTATACATACAGAGGTATTTTGAAAAATATACTCTTTCACTTTTCAAAAATGTATTATTTGTATATGTTATTCTACAAAACAAGACGACCTATTTAATACAATTTGGTTAATGTGAATTTAAAAGAGGGGATTTTTACAAAACACCCTGAACAGGTGTTACAAAATTTTTGTGTCACTGCAACAAAAAGTGATGACAAAATAAAAAATATCTGCGAAAACTTTATGTTTTTTATGATTAGGCGTTTAAAAATTATAGCTCACTAAAGGGGTTACATTTCATTGGTACACCGTGTAATATTAATTATATCATTATTATTGATTTATAAATAATTGTATTATATTACAGGAACGGGTACATCGAGAGTTGCCGGTCCTGGTCTGATGTTCGGCCTGCATCACCACCAGGATGCTACCGGGCTGCACCATCACCATCAACCGCGCGGGCCCAGCCTCAAAGAGGAGCCCTTGACGACGGCCCGGTCCTGGATGCAGGGCACCGTCTCCGATCAAAACGGGTAAGTTTTTTTCCAAACGCGACCCGCCTATCAATTAACACCCTCGAACGCTTCCTATAAAATCGCCCGGCGATTCTATAAATCATCCGGTAAAAATAACAATATCGTTTCGACGGCTAACGATTCGTTTCCGAACGGGGGGCGTATTTTATTACAAATCACTGGCTTCGCTATTACGACATAATCACCCCGAAATCACCCTCTGCCGGCCGGTTATTCGGGCTATTCTCGTTACGCAATCCGCCCGATTCCAAATAACGGCTAACGAAGCAATTAAAAATAAGAAGAAAAATTACCGCCGTAGGGGCGATGGAAAGTGAATTAAATTTACGTATATACCCTTCAGGAAGATCGATTTGTAAATGGTAACAGTTTATAGGTCGGTGAAATGTTGTTCTCTCAATAAGTAATTATCTTAATTGTAATAATTCCATCAGAAACCTGTTAATTTGTCGTTTTCATTAAGGGGCCACTTGTGCCGCTTTTCCGCTCCGTCGATAATCGTCCGATTTCGTGGAGATAGAGCAAAAACGCGACGCGATATTTCCACCGGGGGCGCATTTTTTTTTATCTACCATCCGCCGAGAAGGAGTGCTCGCTAATTTCCTAATGGTCCTTCCGTGTTTTTCTTGTGTTCAAAAATAACTTAATATTAAATACGACGGTAAATTAACGGAATTAAAAAAAAATAGACGGTTTTATCGCTCGGTTTCATCTTATTGCCGTTTGATTACCCCGCCGGGAAATTCCATTCAGATATGTTTATTAATTAGTCGGGCCGTTTAAAATAGAATTCGATTAGGAATTGAACATCTCTACACGAATTACTACAATCGGGTATACGATTTAAAAGCGCGATTCGCCGGGCGAATGTAAATCACTAGGCGTACTATAAAACATCTCTAAAATGTACCTATCGAGATCCGGGGTGGTGCATTTCCCATTTTGCCGGCGAAATGGGGTGGCTGAGGGCGCGTATGCGAGTGTACACATTCGAGATACGGCAACTCAGGTACGGAGGCGATACACAGCCAATATCGGCTATATATAGGTTAAATTATAGATGAGCCAATACGTGACATGGTAGCGATGGTAGGACGTGATGCAAATCTAGCTGGACTATTTGTTAACAGGGCATTTGAGGGAGATGAAGAAGGAAGGTACTGATTCAATAGGGTAGCATTCTACAGCATCAGAAATTGACTATTTCAGTTTTTTTCTTGAAGCATTAGTAATATACTAGTACAAAAATGACAAAAAAAATGATCCAGTAATATCCACAAGTAATTGCTGTGAAGCTCAACAATTCCATAGTCGATAAAGGTGTAGAGTATTCATGTAGTTGATTAAATATATTCGAATTTTGCATCAGAATTTGACTATTTCAGTTTTTCTTGAAGCAATAGTAATATACTAGTACAAAAATGAAAAATAATTGATCCAGAAATATACACAAATAATTGCTGTAATTTCTTTGATACATAAAAAATTAATAAGCTCAACAATTCCATATAATTGATAAAGGTGTAGAGTATTCATGTAGTTGATTAAATAGACCCGAATTTTGCATCACAAATTGACTATTTCAGTTTTTCTTAAAGCATTAGTAATATACTAGTACAAAAATTAAAAATAATTCGTCCAGGAATATCCACAAATAATTGCTGGTAATCCCTTTGATACATAAAAAAATAATAAGCTCAATTATTCATTATAATTGATGAAGGTGTAGAGTATTCATATAGTCGATTAAATAAATCCGAATTTTGCATCAGAAATTGACTATTTCACTTTACACTTAAAGCATCAGCAATATACATAAATTCAAAATTCTGATCAAAATATCCACAAATTAAACAAATAATTGGTACAATCCTTTAGATATCTATTTATAACTCTATATCTCTATACATCTATGCCTATCTATATAAAAAATGAATAATATTAACAATTCCATAATTGATAAAGGTGTAGAGTATTTACAATTGCCTCCCTAGTAGAATCCCTTCGATAGATAGATACATAAAAACGAATAAGCTGAACAATTCCAGAGTCGATAAAGAGTTTTGGAATTCGGTCCAGATGGATTGGGCGCTTCGGATATCCATAACAAAACTCGAACTGCCGTAGTACACGCGGCGATATCTGGTGCTCGAAGCATTTACCCAAATATTCGACAAAATAGATTAACATTTTATCGCCGGAGTGATCAATTACTGCGGATATTATTGAGAGCAGTTTAACGAGCAACGATGCTGTTGCGGCTTTCGCTTTTTTCAGGACCTTTTTTTTCCATTGCCTCCCCGTATTTATCCGGTTTTTGTATTGTTGTATTTTGTAGCTATTTGCCCCCCCTACGGAAGATTTATTTATGTATTTACACGAGGGATGCTTTGTATTATTTTGGGATTCATTTTATTCCAGCCGATCCTTGTATTGTTTTATTTTTCTATCGTTGCAGATCGCAAGTAGGTCGAGCCCATTTCGAGAAACAGCCGCCTAGCAATCTGAGAAAATCGAATTTCTTCCACTTCGTCATCGCCCTGTATGATCGCGCCGGCCAGCCGGTGGAAATCGAACGGACGGCTTTCATCGGTTTCATCGAAAAAGACCAGGTTCGTAAACAATACAATTTTCTTTCGAACGAAATTCACATCATCAGAAGTGGGATCAACGTCGTCAGAAGTGGGATATCGTGTGTACTCAACCCGGTTAATTACCGAAATTACTTTACAGCGAAATGTAAACAACGTTCGCACGATCCACATTAAACATGATTAAAGTTTTCCACGAGCTTATCGACGTTCGTCATCTGACGCGTTATTAGAAACGTTATATTTTCCACGACAAGACAAACGACGCCGTAATAATATTAAAGTCGACGCTAAACAAAATTCCGCCGTTTAGCGGAAACGAAATAAAAAAAAATATAACAAACGTTTAGCGACGGTCGGGAAACATGGAAAGCCGGGAAAGCGGCGTCGCGGGCAACACCTGATAATGGCTTTTGTTGTGACCGGCGGGGCTCAACTCTGGTTTCGCTTTACATGATAAATGCGCTGCCCGAAAAGCGCCCTAATCTTCTGCAACGCGATTACTACCCCTGCGTTGGCCTTTTACGCGCTCGCCTATCCAGCGGCGTCACCACCCCCCTTTCACTACCCCCCCGATCCGATTCAAACCAACGACTTTCATCGACACCCACCAAGCGGGTTAGATGAAAAAATTAATTTCTCTAAACTAAATCAACTCCTGATTCTAATAGTATAGACAGTATTTTCATATAATATAAAAGCGTTTGAGCAATTAACCGACGTCCATATTTATCGCCACGTTAGGTCCGAACAGGTCGTGTATATACGTTTTGTATACATCTCACTTTCTCCCAGTGCATTCGCCGCCGCGACGCTGCCATGGCAACGCCGGCGAAACGACGCTCGACCTTGCAAAGCGCCGAGGAAGCGTTTAAAAGTATTCGAAAGGGATCGTCCAGGTTGGGTCCACTATCTCTTCTTCCTAATATCTAGTATCTCTAGTGGAAGTAGGAAATTTGTATACCAGATAGTTGAGGATTTTTTGATCCTTCATTATTCGTTTTGATTTCATTCTAATATCTAGTAATTGTGGGTGGAGTGGAAGTAGGAAATTTGTATACCAGATAGTTGAGGATTTTTTGATCCTTCATTATTCGTTTTGATTTATTTCTAATATCTAGTAATTGTGGGTAGAGTGGAAGTAGGAAATTTGTATACCAGATAGTTGAGGATTTTTTGATACTTCATTATTCGTTTTGATTTCTTTCTAATATCTAGTAATTGTGGGTAGAGTGGAAGTAGGAAATTTGTATACCAGATAGTTGAGGATTTTTTGATCCTTCATTATTCGTTTTGATTTCTTTCTAATATCTAGTAATTGTGGGTAGGGTGGAAGTAGGAAATTTGTATACCAGATAGTTGAGGATTTTTTGATCCTTCAATATTCGTTTTGATTTTTTTCTAATATCTAGTAATTGTGGGTAGAGTGGAAGTAGGAAATTTGTATACCAGATAGTTGAGGATTTTTTGATCCTTCATTATTCGTTTTGATTTTTTTCTAATATCTAGTAATTGTGGGTAGAGTGGAAGTAGGAAATTTATATACAGATAGTTGAGGATTTGGAATTCATTATTTTTTTTGATTTACAGGAAGCCGATGGGCAAAGGACGAACAACGGGATCCAATATCGACTCCAACTACTTTTTGCCAACGGTAAGTTTCTTATTCCTTTGGTAACATGGTATAGAGTTTGCAATATTTTCCACACCCAGTGCATTTAACTAGTTTCTGGAAGATGCTAAACGAAGAGTACTATCATATCGCAGCTCCTCAATTGATATTGGAAGATAATTCTTGTAGTTTAGCATAGAAAACGTGCAGTTAACGAGCAACAGATCATCTTAATCGAACCGAGGTTGGTCTCCGGGACGCCGTGGAGTAATTAGAAAAGTTATTGGAGGGAGTAGTGGTCGGATGACGATGGACGAGGGCGATAAGATCCCCGAGACCCTTCGGACGCTATCTCCCGTTTCCCTCGAGTCCGAACTTAAGAGAGACCGCGGAGGCGGCGGCGGCGGCGGCGGCGGCGGGCGTCCGGGAAACTCCGGCGCGCCGCAAATTCTTCAAGTTTCCGCCGCCCGCTTATCTCGCCTGCGAAAGACCCCGGAGTTGCGGCGGCGCCCGACTCCGGGCCGTAGATCACGGTCTCCGCGAATCCACCGGTTTTCTTCGTGGAAAACTCCTTGTGAAACTTCTTCGAACTGTACTTCGGGAGAATTTTTTTTTGCCTGAGAATGAAACTTCTCGTGTTTATATGAATTCTTCGCGTCGTTCGGCCGCCCCTCCTCGGGCTCGTAAAACATTAAAATGATAATAGAGAAGTTTACGGGCGCTTCGAACTATCTCGATACGGAGCAAGCAGCCTCTCTCTATAGCCTTTCTTCGTGTTTTCGCACGAGGCTCTGTCGATAAGGAAATTCCAGTGGCGTACCTATGCATATACAGGGTGTCTCGTAAGTTGATACTTTTTTTAACCGCGTATAGATCTTTCAATTCTAAGCGACTTTTTCAAGTATTTTTTTGTTATTTTGAAAAATAAAAATGATGAAATTTTTTGAAATTTCTTTAAAATTCGAATATTTTCCAATACGTACCTGATATTACGATGCTGGTGTCAAAAATATAATAAATAATTAATGACAAAAAATTAATTTTTTGATTGTTGAATTGAAAATGGCTCATTTTTATACAAATAATGAATTGGTGGACATTCTGATTTCTGATTATTTATGGAGAGTGTTTCCAAAGGGTTTTCAATCAAAATTGTGACAATGTTGAGCAAATCCTTTAACTTTTAATGAACAGAGCCGTATTAACTAACTTTTAAATAATTAAAAATTGAAAAAAAACATGCTCTCTTATTTTCCACAATATTAAAAAATTTAATTTGAAAAAGTTGCTTAGAATTAAAAGATCCTGTAAAAATTTCAACTTAAATAGATACCGATCCTCAAACAGTAATTACAACAGAATGCCACTTCCCATCATCAGTATCTTTAGTTGATCTTCACCTAGTTCCACTTTAAATATCCAACATTTCATTTCATTTATCGCCAGTTCTTCTACTTACAATCCTCCATCCTCACTACCTTTCCTATAATTCTTCCTCAACAACAACGTTGCAGTATAATTACAAGAATTAATTGCCGGGCACCATCATCTCGTGCGAATTGAATTAGGCATCCCCTGAAAACCATCAACTAACAACTTTCACTTGTAAACTTTTTTATCATCAATATCTATAGTTGATACAAACTCTTCACCTAGTTCCACTTTGAATATCCAACATTTCTTTTCATTTATCGCCAGTTCTTCTGCACTACTCCCATTCTCACCACCTTTCCTATAATTCTTCCTCAACAACAACGTTCCAGTACAATTACAAGAATTAATTGCCGGGCACCATCATCTCGTGCGAATTGCATCGGGCATCCCCCGAAAACCATCAACTAACAACTTCCACTTGTAAACTTTTTTATCATCAGTATCTATAGCTGATACAAAATATTCACCTACTTCCAGTTTGAATATTCAACATTTCTCTTCATTTATCGCCAGTTCTTCTGCACTACTCACATTCTCCATCCTCACCACCCTCCACTATTCTTCCTCAACAACCAACGTTTCCATTCTCACCACCTTTCCTATAATTCTTCCTCAACAACAACGTTGCAGTACAATTACAAGAATTAATTGCCGGGCACCATCATCTCGTGCGAATTGCATCGGGCATCCCCCGAAAACCATCAACTAACAACTTCCACTTGTAAACTTTTTTAATCAATTTAAAATTCCCCGCGTATAGATAAATATATCGTTTCGTGACCGGGCTACGCCTCTGTGCACGACACGGCGTTGAAACAAAGACAAGACGTCCGTGCCCCGAGGGTCCGCCATCTTTTAACTCCTCGGAGAGCGTTTGCGGAGTTATTTTATTACGAATAAGGCGCGCGGGACGCGAAGGGGGTGGAAGGAGCGTGAGTGCTCCACGGGGATGATGTCGTGCGAGGTGTGTGTGTGTGTGTACGAGTAAATAAGCTCGTTTACTACGCTTGTATATTTTGTCGCAAAGGCGAATCTTTCGAGCCGTTTATTTGAACGATGGAGGTGTTTTTGGGATATAGTATAGTAACCCCGTGATGGAGGGAGGCGGGCAATCGATTCCGGAGGCGGTCGAAAGGGCGCTTTGTCTTACATGTTTGTAAAATACTTTACGATTTTGTAGTTACTTACGATGTATCTATAGTGGAAAAAGTATTTATCTATACACAAGGATTATTCGGTATCCCTTTTAATTTCTCGATTGCAGAATATATACAGGGTGTTAAGTAATAAGTACGACAAACTTCAGAGGGTGATTCTATATAAACATATTTTGCTATATAAACATATGTTCGTAAATGCTTCGTTTTCGAGATACGGGGTGTTAAAAAGTTTCTTCTTAAAACCCGAAGATTTATTTGTTTCTCTGAAACCAGTCGAGATATTCAAGTGAAATTTGGTGGGTTTTGAGAGGTAGCTATTACGCATTTTTTGACATAAAATTAAAAATTTTATGTTCACCATTGACGCGCATACGGGTAATAATAACATTATTTTAAAGAAAAAAATAGTTTGTGTACGCCACTGAGGCGTTTTTATTAAAAATTCAATTATGAATGAATTCCTCGTTTAATTTGTGACAAAAAAAGTCTCTTGTGTTTTTTTCGTACGCGCCGCTGTTTTCGAGTAAAAAAATAAAACATCTGGACATGCATTTTTCATTATCTAGTAGTGAAGAAACTTTAACACCCCGTATCTCGAAAACGAAGCATTTGCGTACATATATTTATACATCAAAACATCATTATTTTTTCATGCAGAACCACCCCCTGAAGTTTGTCGCACTTATTAATTAACACCCTGTATGATAAGAGAGGTACGGTACAAACAGGTCGGAAGAATTCCTTTCTCGACGGAAAAATTTCGCCGTACGCATAAAAATCACATCGAAATCTCCGTATGCGCGTCCGAATTCAGACTTCAAAGACTCGAAAATAAAAAAAAGAAAGCGAAACAGAATCAAAAAAAAACCGCCGGGAATTTTTGCTTTGCTCGTCGTTCGCAAAATCCCTTGTCGTTCGGCTCCGATCTGATTGACCGATCGGATTAATTATCCGCCTAATTAAAACCAACCATAGGCGTACCTAATTAGCCGCTCGAATTTCCCCCGTACGATCTAGTACGGCGTGGAATTCGCCTTGCCTACGAGGGCGCGTCGATATGCAGTCGATTAAGTCGAGAGGATTAAAATCGGTAGAAAGGATTTTTCGATGGCTGGAGACGACAATCGCGGGCGCCAATGGGTTTACTAGATCGATTTGTAATTCTCCGGGCGTCCGCCGAGCCGGCCGCTTCCATATACGCGCTGACTCCTTAGTGCGCTAAAGTGTAAATAGAGTTTTTCTCGACGATTGTAAAAGGCGATCGGGGAGCTCGCGAACCCGCTCGCGATTGATGTAATTGACAATTGGCTTTGCTAATTAATTAATTGCGCCAACTGTAGCCTTATAGCGAACTTGTATATTACGAGGGAGTTGTGATAAATACAAACTTTTAATTATAAAGTTGAAGGAATAATTCTAATAATCCAATTTGACCGTACTATTATTAACCCGTTTGTGGATGAATATTTGAGTAGCACGCGCTCTTTCGGAATTAATAGACCTACCGTACGTTTTGCGCCTATTATTATGTATCCAACGTATGTAATATATTTCTTACGTTAAAGGGTTTTGCTGGTTTTTTTTTTCCACCGACAGTTGTATAAAACCCGATGGAATCATGATCGTAATACTTAAGATCGTTACCGATAAGTGAAAGTTAAGCTAAAAGAAACCAGTCCGAATTGTTTATGAACTTTTATAAAATCGCTTATTTCTAATGTTAATGTTCGGTTAAAGCTCATTTTCGTTGTTTTTTTGCAGGAGTTCGGCAAGAGCAAGATATATACGTTCGATTGATCGACTCAGTAACGAAACAGGTAAGATTCATACGAATATTCGATGGGTGTTTATTGTTTATTTAATACATTTAGGTACATAAAATTGATATTATTCGATCCAATAAACATCTAACGAGATATTAACTCGAGAGAGCTTAACTCGATTCCATCTCACGTGTACAGTCCCATACGGCTGACGGAGGCAATCCAGGTGGCGAAATGGAAGGAAGGGGATTCGCATAAATAATAATGATATCCCAGGAATAGAGGAAAATTAGCCGCTCTAAACTCCAGATTAATCGAGACACCTGCCTAAATTAGTAGCGTCGCAATAAATCCACGTTAATTGGCTCCGTAACTTGTACATAAAGCATAAGTTTCCGATTTCTGTACACGCGGATCACGTGCGTTGTTTCACCGTTTGATGAACGTTTACTCACGTTTCGATGGGCAATATTATCCCGCAAATGCTCGGGTAACATCTAGAGTTTACGCAATTTAATGTTACTATCGAGCTGGATTAGATCCCTTTTTGCGTTTAAAAAGAACACAAAATAAATCCTCTCGCGATAAACGACGCATTAAACAACAAAACGACCGCGAGGGCGTTTTTCGACAATGCCCCCGACGCCCTCTTTTTATCGCCCGATTTCTATCAACAAGCGAGTATCCGGGACACGTGGACGACACGCGACCGCCTGGAAAACGAATAGGAAATCGCCGGTTTCCTCTATCCACGTTCATTAGATCCCTTATCGGGAATCGATCAGCCGATCTGCAAACATTTCTCTAACGATTTCCAGATGGAAATTAATCCCATCTTTGGAGGAAATACGATTTTAAAAATAAATTGTCTCGATGCCTATACAAGCTGGTGAGGTGAAAGAATTGCTAAAAAATTGTAAACGATGAAAAATGCCGGCGGAAAGTTTTATTTTCGTGCGGAAAAGGCGCGCGCGAATTTATTAAAGAATATTAAATAAATGGGCGGCAATTTGTCGGGAAGGTTGTTAAAAATTGCCCGCTAACTAAATCAGGTTCGGAACAATTTGTAGCGGGGTAGTCTCGAGTTGATGGAGTGAAAAGGGGAAAGTTTAATGCGTTTAAGTTCTTAAATTTAATTTTAGTCAATCATCCAACTTCGAGACGGTTTTGAGGCGGAATTTAATTTCGCGCTCGTCGAATCTTTCTCGGGACGCGCGACGTCGCGACGCCGCCGTAGGAAATTCGCGACGTCGAATCTTAACGTTGAAGGTCGATCCTGAGAAGTTATTAATATGCTCTATTTTGCTCAAATATTTCGTCAATTCGTTTTATCAAATACCCATGATCCAAATTATTTTCTTAATTTGCTCTATTTTGTGCAAAAAAATTCATAAAAAAAATTCTATTTATCCATTATACATGGCATAATCTAAAATATCTTCTTAATTCGCTCTTTTGCGCAAAAATTTCATAAAAAAAATTCGTTTTATCCATTATACATAATCCAAAATATCTTCTTAATTCGCTCTTTTGCGCAAAAATTTCATCAAAAAAAATTCGTTTTATCCCTTGCATAATCCAAAGTATCTTCTTAATTTTCTCTATTTTGCGCAAATATATTTCATTAATTCGTTTTATCCATTATCCATGATCCAAATTATTTTCTTAATTTGCTCAATTTTGCGCAAAAATTTCATCAAAAAAAATTCGTTTTATCCATTATACATAATCCAAAATATCTTCTTAATTCGCTCTTTTGCGCAAAAATTTCATCAAAAAAAAATTCGTTTTAATCCATTATACATAATCCAAAGTATCATCTTAAAATTTTCTCTATTTGGCGCAAATATTTCATCAAAAAAATTTCTTTTATCCATTATACATAATCCAAATCTTCATCCTCTTCCGGATTTGCTAAATTTTGCTCAAAAATTTCATCATAAAAAATTCGTTTTAATCCAATATACATAATCCAAAGTATCTTCTTAATTTTCTCTATTTAGCACAAATATTTCATAAAAAAAATTCGTTTTATCCATTATACATAATCCAAATCTTCTTAATTTGCTATATTTTGTGCAAAAATTTCATAAAAAAAATTCGTTTTATCGATTTTCCCCAATCCAAATTATTTCTTATTGCCACGTGTATAACAATTAATTAGCATCTGTTGTATAGATCATAAGTATCGTGTTTTCCGTTAAGAATAGCAAATAATTTTTCAATTACGAAGTTAAATAATACCAGGCTAGAATTATAAATCGCCCGTAATAATAAAATCCATCCCCCGAAAAAGGCTCGTAAATATTTCCACCCCTTTCTTCGTTTGCCCCATTCCCCGCTCATTATCCCCGGGGATCATTGATAAATTTCGCGAATAAATTAAAACGCATAAAACTCGAAACAATTTCGCGATAACGGATAGATAAAAGAACGATTCCTCTTTCTAAATCAGGAACTGCTTTAATTGGGAAAAATACTCCTACATACACAAATAATCATATCTCTAGTTTTTGTTTACTATTTGCACAAAATACTTGGACTAAACGATAGCTAATAAAGCAAGGTTTCATAAAGTTTTCGGGTCATTTGCTGGGAGAATACGTGTAGAATACGTTTACGAAAGTGGTAGGACAACGCATTGGGTGTTAATTTCATTTGCCCGTTCGTTCGTCGGGACCTTTTCCTAATCTAATTCCATTAGTTGCGTCTCGACGTTTAATTTGTAATGTTTTTGCAACGGTTTCCGCGCTCGTACGATTCCCCGTAAGTCCGCTAAATAGGCAAGGTAAACAGGAATAATAGATGTAGAGCCGTGGAATAATAGATAGATAGGCGGAAGGGAACTCGATTAATAGCGGGATATTTTCGAGTACGATAAATCCCGAGCATTATCTCGCCGCCGAAGAGTAACTTTTTTTTTTATTTTTTTTTTATTAAAAATGCACTTTCGTTCTCGTTAAAATTACATTAAAATGCCAGTTTTCATATCAGAGATAAACTGTATAAACCGCTTTAACGTGACTAATGCATCTCTGGGGAAAGCGCCTTTTTTTCCGATTGACGTTACCGTTCCATTAACGTAATTTTTAACATGCTTTATCAATTTCTACATTTTCATTTTCCCGTCTCCCTTCCGGACCGGAAAGGGGCGCTTCGGACGGTTTGGAATTAAAAAAAATAAATAAAAAAATAAAAACCTAAACTCCGCGCCTTCCGATACAACGGCCATTGTTTCGCTTTTCCTCTTCCGAACAAAGGGAATCGATGGCCGGGAAATGGAAGATTTTTAATTAATCTCGATTTTTCACCAATGGGGCTTTTAATTTCACATCAATCGGTTTTTGTGTACTTTCCAATCGACGGTTCTGACTTTGTATTATACTTCTTTAGAAGCATCTTCAATCGATAGTCGATAATAATGTATTAGTTGGGGCACTTTCATTAATTCATACTCGCTTAGACTCTACTTTAAACTCTCTTTAAGACTCTTTTAGACTCTTTTAGACTCTCCTTAGTCTCTCTTTAGTCTCTCTTTAGACTCTCTTTAGACTCTCTTTAGTCTCTCTTTAGACTCTCTTTAGACTCTCTTTAGACTCTCTTTTGTCTTTCTTTAGACTCTCTTTAGGCTCACTTTGGACTCATATGTGGAAATAATCTATAGTTACTTAGTCAAATTATTTTCATTCAATTAGCAAGCAGGACGAAAAGCTAGGACGAATTGTCCATCCATAAAGACCATTAATCCTATAAATATAATAAATAAAATTTATCGTCTGATGAAACACTTTCAATAACTCATACTTAGATTCTTCTTAGATTGCTTGTGGAAGTAATTTATTGCGTTATAAAATGTTAGAGGTTTTTTTAATATCATTCTTCTGTTGCAAATACAGTTTTTATTGATCAAATTATTTTCATTTGCATCGAAATAACCTACAATTATTTCGCAAAACTGGCACGAATTGGAAAATATTAATGAATTTAATGAATTTTTCTGAATTGTCGATCCATATTGCTTTAGCGTTAAATGTCATATGTAGTCCCATTAATCCGAAATGTCGTTGGAAATTCGACATCACAACTACCAAACTGTTAAAATTTTATCACGTTTAACCCGATTACAGCGAATCGAACTGACAGCCGGGCTAATCCTGTTTAATATAAATGCACTACAATGTTAATTTTATCGTCTGTCCATTTTCCCGTATTATGCTCGACAAATATTTTTTATGTTGCGAATCGCTCTGAATATTAACGGAAACGCTTCTCGTGCGCCGGTTATTCCAACATTTTCGCATCAATTTCAACTTTTTTTCAGCTCGCAAATTGAACTGATTAACCGACGATTTGTACGGATTTGTAAAGTTTCGATGCTAACATAAGCACGTGGCCTTTTCCTCTCTTGTAATACAGTAATAGAGAATCAATTTTCCTCTTGGAGAATTTTTAATTCGCTTAAGTAGCAGTCATTATTCATGACGGAGCGTGAGACACGATGCGGATTGCATGTCCGTAAGTAAACCACTTAGTTAAATGACGCCGTTGTGCGTCTTATACCGGCGTCGCGGCGCTGCCGAGAACAAAACCCGCCGAAGTCTCATTAGTTGATTACCTGTACAAACACCCCTTTTCTGAGCTGTTGCCGCTTCCCATCTTTTTTCACTCTACTTGTAATATTATTTAACAACAAACTGTAAATTTTGACACTACAAATCCAATTCCAGCGTATCCAACTGCTCAATGAAAGGCTTTTTAAATCGTTCAAAGTCGGCGGGTGTTTATGTGGAGGATGTCGATTCGAAAGGGGTAGGTTTTAGCGAGTTCCGGGCGGCTCCAACGCCATAAGAAAGTCAATTCCCACGGGAATATTTTAACAAGTCTTCTGGGTTTTCGGCGAGTAAGTCTCCGGAGATGGGCGACTTCTCCTGCGGCGGATCTCCCGCAGGGCTCCCGACGTATCATACTCGGCGGAATTAAACTAATATTTTCAAACTTCGGCGCCCAAAATTTATTATTCGAAGTTTTGAAGGTTGTATAGCTAATGTTTCGATAGAAACGAGATCAGAAGGCGGTCGTATGGCGCATCGGAATAGTTTTTAAAGCCAAACTTAATTAGAATCTAATTACGAATATCCCCCTTCGAATTATTCCGGGCAAAGAGTACATGCATTATTCAAGCGTTATGATTAGACCCCGCCGTTTTTAATGGAAATATGAGATAAGATCGGCTTATAAAACCGGGGAGTCCCCTTTTTTCCTGCTCCCGAACGGTGACTTACTGGCCCATCCGACTAGTCATCAATGAGCATAGAATAACCCTCAAGTCTCCTATAATTACCGGGACTTTTCGTCCCGTCTACCGCCGTAATCCGGCTATTTCGAAGGCTCTATCCGATAGCGGGGAGATCAGCGGCGTGCGCGATCGAAATTTCCTATCCAAACTTCATCGATTTAACGAAATTTTTACCTATATAGAGCATCTAAAAGTCGCTTCTACTTTAGTACAAAAATTAGAATATCCCACTTCTGAAATTCTATCAAATTTCCTCAACTCTTAGTTGAAAATCCCGTTGTAAAAATACATGCTGCGTCACTGCGGCGTCTTCTCTAAATAGTTTGTGCTCGAGAGCGATGTTCGGGGGGGCGGCGAACGCGCGTATATATCTATTTATGTGCGTGGAGGATTTGGGGCGGGGGGATTAAGGTGCTTACGTTTAGAGCAGTTGATAGATTTTTGTTTAATTGAATATGTAACGCGTAGGACCCTCCGGGGGCTTTGTTCGAGAGGCTCTAGCCGGATTAACCGGACATCGAGAGCAACATGTGTCGGGATAAAGAAAATTTGGCCGGGGCACATGGGGCCCGGGCGTTGGAGGTGTGATTTTCTTGAAATATTGCGAAATATCCCGGCGACTTTTTCGAGGCTCGATTAGTAGATGGAGTGTTTTCGCGCGGGAAATCAACCGTCGATTAGTTTAAAATTAATTGGAATTATTTGATTGCCGGTGGAACGGCGAATGATTTATTTTCAACGAATTTCTGTTACAGGCCATCATCTACGAGGGTCAGGATAAAAATCCGGAAATGTGCAGAGTCCTGTTAACGCACGAGATCATGTGCAGGTGAGTACATCACTAATACAGGGTGGCCCAGAACGACAATGGAGATGCCAAAACTGCAGTCGAAAACATGAAAAAGTTATTCCTTTGGTAAATAAAGAGGTTTAAATTTGACCAATCCCAGTAGGAATTCCAAACCACGAAAATCATGTGAATGATTTATACACCAATTTGACATTATTGAAAGATTCTATTTCCTTTTTACTTTAAAGGTTAACAAAAGCCGCCAAAATCAGCTGTAACTGTTGATCAAAGATTTGCTTCCAAATCGATCATTCAGAAGCTTCGTGGTGCTGATATCAAACCTACAGAATTTGTTATTGCTTCAAAAGTGGTTCGAATCGAATGATCCATTTTTTGATCTGTTTTAAAGCAAATCTTTGATCAATAATTACAGCTGATTTTGGCAGCATTGTCCTTGAAAGTGAAAAAGAAATAGAATCCTTCAATAATGTCAAATTGGTGTGTAGCTAATTCACGTCATTTTCGTGGATTTGAATTTCTACAGGGATTTGAATAACTTTATCATGTTTTCGACTGCAGTTTTGGCATCTCCATTGTCGTTTCCACAAGGCATTTCCCGGTGGTGCGTGAGTTCTGGGCCACCCTGTATAGAAACTTATCGAACCGCCCTCGTATAATTCGTGGCCCCTTAAGATGCACCATATAGAAAAGTGGTGCAAGAGGCGAGCTCGTCGAATGAGAACGATGCGTTGTTTGTTACGGCAAGACAAGGGAATAGGGAAAAGACAGACTCCCCGGGGAGAAGGGCCCGCCCCCGCGCCTACCCCCTATTCGTAAGAGGCCATCGGGGGAAGAAGAATATTTAGGGAATTTCGTGACTGCATCATCGACTCGGCCACGTCAAGTTCTTTGACGCGAGACGGGGGTGGGATGGAGGGTAGCGTTTCCGCGAAGGGTGCCTTGAGAAACTTGCATAGTTTTGCTACGAGTGATAGTCGAAATATAGGCGAATTTTATTTACCTATACACTTTCGTAATAAATTAAAATGTTCGTATATGTATAAGGAAAATAAGCACCCTTCTGTGGAAATAAGGTGGAGCTTTTCCGACGACGTAAACGCGTTTATCAGTTTACCGTGTAATATGAAAAGAAAATTCTCTCCTCCGCCGTTTTACCTGCCCGAGAAAATTTGATCACACATCCAATTTTATCACCTATACGAAACATAATTTATCAAGAATATTAGGGAAGATTGTTTACACGACATAAAATGGATAATATATTTGCGAGCGACTTATTTCATCCGCCGTTTTGTAGCAAGGCTAATAACGGCGTATACGAGGGTGGCGCGAGAAATTTTTACGAAGTATTTCTTCTAAATTTTTAATTTTTCCGTTTGGTTTTTCCAGCCGATGTTGCGACAAGAAGAGCTGCGGTAACAGAAACGAAACCCCTTCGGATCCTGTGATAATTGACCGGTAAGTTACTTTAAAAAATTTTTCTTTACACTAGTATATAGGGTGTTTATTTATTGAGTACTAAAACTTCGAAGAAAACTTTATATTAATGTATGTCCTAAATCTCTTAGTTTTCGAGCTAGAGTGTTACAAATTTGGAAAAAAAATTCATAATTTTCTTATTACTCCAGATATTTTTATGAAATTTTGTATACACTTTTTAATTATAAAGTAGCATTTTTTAAGGCTATTTTTTTTTAATTTTTACCAGTGACGTGCGTACGGGATGTGAATTGAATATATTTGAAGAAAAAATGGTACGCCACTGCTTTTTCTAAAAAAAACAAAATTATTTTTAAAATCCTCATTTATTTTGGAGCAAATTCTGTCCGAAGACTTACTTTCCTACGAGGCACCATTTTCGCGTGAAAAAATAAAAACCAAAACAATTTTTTTCCCAAGTTAATTTTGAGATTGTCTTGGATATTTTATTGAAATTTAGTAGGCGCCCACCATGCATAGAAACACCTTTTTTTGGGGACAAAAATTAATTTTCTACTATTATCAGTGACGCCCACTTAATAGTAAAATAAAATTATGATAGAAAAGTTTTTTTCTTCTAAAACTGTAACTCCCTGTAGCTCGAAAACTAAGAGGTTTAAAACACATATTGATAGAAACTTTTCTTCTTAAAATCACCCGAATATTCACATCCCGAAGTATCGACACTCAATTAATTACCTTCCTCTTATACATCACTTGATGGTTCCTATAATTAAGTAGTGTATAAAATTAGCGATAATTTTTGTAAACGTGGAATAAAAAAAATCGACTTTCGATCGCGCGAGGTCCTTCTCCCGACGATCTTTTCTCCACGTTCCGGACCTCGTACGTCGTCGATGCTGAGGGGGGAATCTCGCAAGAAAATGGCTTCCCTGGGGAATCGGCGCAGTCGACAAAAGGGAGAGAAAGCACCGTTCCTGCGGTGGATGTATATCGGATATCTCTATCGCAAATAGCAATAGAAATTCCTGTCGATCGCTCGTTCGGCCCTTCGTTTGATTGTTACGTAAATATATCCAGAATTCGATCCAGATTTTATACTCTATTATACTTGCAACTGATCGCCTCACCTCGCATTCAATAATAATAATCATACTACAATAGTCGAATTTAACGAGTTTTACGATTAAGTAAAACAAACTTTCCATTTCGAATGTAGAATTCGGTATCTTAAAGTGGGATGCTCCTATTACTTTTCCCTCTGTGACGACGTTAATTCATTCAAGGAGCGGGAACAAACTGAGCAGGCTGTTTCGTTTAATTTTACATGGAAACTCAACAAGGCGAAATTAAAGCGGAGAAACGGGAACTTTTCGACCTGGGCGCACGCACAGAACCGAAAGTCGTTCAACTCCTCGCGCCCATTCATTCTCCCTCTTTATCTATCCCGAAGCCGGGGGGGGGCGCAGTTTGGGGGGTGGGCGGCGGAATGGGGGAGCGAGGGAGAAAAATGGCCATGAGATAGAAAGGCGGCGGCGGCGGCGGCGGTAACTGTAGTCTCGGTCTTGTGCGTGATAGAGAAAAGGGCGATAAGGTCGAAGAATGAGTGTCTTTTGTTTGTAAAACAAGGGCTGGTTATTTACTGGCATCGCGTTTCTCCCGCTTCTCTTTCCAAACCTTTCCTTTATTTTTTTTTTTAAAGATTACGGCTCTGTTAAGATTTGTATGTCGTAGTGCTTATAGCGCAAAGGAGAATCCACTTTTAATGAGTAATGAAATCTTGCTGGATTTACCGAAACGTCTAAATAAATCAAGACTTGATAGAGAATTTGAAGAGATAACCAACCATTCAATTAGAGCATTTTATACAGGGTGTTCCTAAACATCGTGTACATCCGAAAGGGGGTGATTACTTGGCTTATTTTATGACTAAAAGTTCATATAAACGTGGGTTTGCAAAACGCTTAAATTTTGAATTTAGATTGCTTTATAGGGCACACATTATTGGGTACATCAGATGGTTGTTGAATTCTACATCAGGGCGATATTTTTTCAGGGGTCATGTACCCTTTCTTCCCCCTAACTTTTTTGGTGTGCGCCGCTGGTAGATTCTAAAATACAAAATTAATTGTCTGCTTTGTTTAGAAACTTTTTTTATTTTTAAACTTTTTTCGTTTCTGTGACCGTTATCGAGAAAAAAATTAAAAATGATTTTCTGACCAAATGATTTATTTTACAAAACAAAAACCCTAAATAATAACTATTTAATTACATTATAATAAATGTTGAAAGTGACCCACTTCTACTCAAATTACACTGTGTACCCTACCTAATTTGAGCTAAATATCTCAAAAACTGCATGAGCTCTAAAAAAGTAACAAAAAAAACTTGAAATTTCAACACACTGTAGATGGGTAACGAAGCGTTTGCGAACCTATGTTTTTATAAACTTTTAGTCATAAAATAAGCCAAGAAATCACCCCCTTTCGGATGTACACGATGTTTAGGAACACCCTGTATATTGTTATACAACTTGACAGTCAGTGCCTACCAACCTACCATAAGAAAATAATAATAATTTACTTATAACAAACGTTGAATTTTAATAATTATATTATTTGGATAATTTAATTCTGCTTTTAACTTGTTCTATCATGCCTTGTTAATATTAAATTAAATTCTGCAAGTATTAATCTTTTAATCTATTTGTATTTGTTTTGTACCAACTGTATATGTAACAAAAATTACGATTTATCTTCGATAGCTCCACTATTCTGATAATTTATTAATTCACAACAATTTACACCACTTCCTTTGTTTAGTTTATTTTCTACCGAAAGTAATATTTGACTCTATTATCTCGATCTACATTTACTGCATTTGTATACGCAGCGTTATCGACACGCCATCGTCTATTTGCTGTACTTTTTCGACCTGTAAAATTACTGTTACACGTCCCCAAACACTCGAAAAAGGTAAAAATAGGTGTACGTAATACACCGTCGAATTTTCCACCCCCCCGACCCCCCGTTTAATATTGTTTAATTTGGTGTTAATGTATGCATCTGTCGCACGAACATCCAACCTAAAAGTAAATAATAAATTGGGTTTTGGCTCGCGTGTCGCCGTACCCGAGTACAGATGGCGTTCTGTTCGCATGAGCCCAATGTAAAGCGATACTAATTATGTATGAAATTTATTAGAAAACATACCGATGGCCCGTGCAGATACAAAGGGAGGCGTATCGATCTTCGTATGAAAAAATTAATTTTGTATATTACACGAAAATGGAATAAAAATTGTAAGATGTTTCTAGAAGCTTCTGGGTTGTTGTTACACGTCCAATAAAAGAGCGATTTTTACAAGGGGGTTCGATGATTTTTTTTATTATTAATTATTATAAAATTAGGGTGTATAATAGTAGTTATTATTCGGTTTAGGAATGCGCTATGTAATTGTGTATTTATTGCAATTAGCAAATTAATTGACGTCAATCGGCAATTATAACAAACCTATTTGTGCATGAGTAATCGGATACGTGGTATATATTCGGGATATTTAGAATAGATTAGGCGATATTACGCAGATGACCGCTCGGATGTCTGTTGTTTTAAATTACGTAGGGTGAATTAACATTTGGTGAGTTTTTTTTACCGAAATTACGCATGCGATATACACCAGAATCATATAAAAAAAGAATGGGACATTTTCTACAAGCCGGTATACATAAAATTTCTCGCTACTAGTATAGAGCCTAGTAGTTCGGTATCTAATTTGGGGTGGAAAAAAAGGGTTGCTCTAAATATTCTTGCAATAGAAGTGTTCTGAATTGTTCTAGACTTGTTCTAGACTAGAGGGTTCTGAATCGTTTCTAAATGATTGTAGACAGTTCTAATTGGTTCGGAATTCCCCAATAGTTTATCGTTTAATAGTTCTAAAAGGTTCTGTATCGTTTCGAAATGCTTCTAGGCTGTTCTAAATGGTCCAAAATTCTCTATTGTTTATCTTGGACAGTTCTAAATGGTTCTGAATTCCCCAATAGTTTAGCGTTTAATAGTTCTAAAAGGTTCTGTATCGTTTCAAAATGCTTCTAGGCTGTTATAAATGGTCCAGAATTCTCTATTATTTATCTTGAAAAGTTCTAAATGGTTCTGAATTCCCCAATAGTTCAGCGTTTAATAGTTCTAAAAGGTTCTGTATCGTTTCAAGATGTTTCTAGGCTGTTTTAAATGGTCCAGAACTCCCCTATAGTTTATCTTGTACAGTTCTAATAGGTTGTAGATTTTTTTCAAAATAATTCTATAGGTAGTTCGTTGTTCTGAGCTGCACTGGTTTATCCTGGACAGCTCTAAAACTTTTTGGATCGTTTCTAAATGATTCTAGACAGTTCTAAATGGTTTTGATGTTCCTTAGTTTATCGTGGACAGTTGTAAAAGAGTTAATTCCAGACAGTTCTACACTAAATCGTCCTGAACTGTTTTGTATTGTCCTGAAGCGTTCTAAATGATTCGTTCTGAACTTGTCTCTCGTATCAAATTTGCTTGAAAATGTCAGGAAAAAGGCCCTTTCTGTTTTCAACTGAAGTTAAGAATAAGGAGAATGCGATAGGAAAGTTAGTAAAAACAAAGCGAGTCTATAGATTTGCCTAGAAGATACAAAACGACGTTTGTAATGGAAAAACGAATGCGAATATGGAAAGCATAATTTCGCGAAATCGAAAGAATCCCGATAACAAACGAGAATCAGTTTTGGATGAAAGCCCGTTGATGCGTGTATGAGTTATTTAGTTGATGATTGTGTCGGGCGAAATGCGACACGGGGGCAGTTTCAGCCGTGAATTATGATCTTCAATCGTCATCCAGGACCGTATTCTGGATGAATTATCCCGAATTTCCAACGAATGACATTTCATTTCTCGCGCACTTCGTATACTTACCATTTACGATATGTATACTTAATAATCGTGTAATTTTCGTGGAGTTTTGTATAGTAATTCGATTTTTGTATATGTGGGGGTT